TGTCCCTAACCTCTTTCCCACGCCCCTTTATCGTATGCCCATGATTTTGCTCCAAAGACACAGCTGAATCAAAAGGGATTTTGCCCTTCACAGACCATTGGACGGAAGAGATCTTCCTCACTGGTTGATTCCCCAAAACCTCTTGGAAACACTTGTTCTCAGACGGGTCGCTGAAAAGGCCGTCGCACGGGCAGGGGAGGCTCAACCCGAACAGACCGAGGAATTTAGAGGACAGGTAAACGAGAGAGGAGGCACAAAGAAGCAAATACGCTACAGCAAGATCAACATATGCAGCCATCAAGCCCTTGAATGTCCAAGATTGTATCTCCTGGCACGGCATTTTTCCTTCCCCCGCTGAAAAGACCAATGATTTTTGCACAGAGATGAATTCAATCAAATCACTGAAAAGCTCAGTCCCTTTATCAAGCTCACACACACCTGAAAACGAGTTAGGACAAGAACTGAACTGAATCAGCAACTCTCTTCTCCAGTTATGTTCCGCTTGATCTGAAAATTTTTCTACTGCCAGTTTCTATGAAACGGATGAAATTTACTGGAAAAGCTACTTAATTTAAGTAAAAGACTTCCAAGAAAAATCACCCATCTGATACAAGCACGAGAATCACAGAACAAATATAAAAAAATCCAAGCCCATGAATCAATTATTTTTCTGAACTTCCAGGCATCTGAAACAAAGAAAAACTGAAGGAAGAAAAAGAAAGAAAAGGGATTAGAACAAATGTTTTATAAATAAATAAAAAATCGACTAAAAAAGCGAACCCACGAATCGATCAAACAATAAAGTCGTCTTTTTTTATTTCCATTCGCATCAAAGTTTCAAGCTTTTATTTATTCTTACGAGATTAAATCTCGAAGTTTCTCCGTTTCATTTCCAAGGATATATCCTAAAATAGAAAGAACAGAGAAATCGAAGAGAGAGAACAAAAACCCACCAAGTTCGTCGTCGACTCCGTTTGCAGAGAAAATTCTTTCTACAACTTGATCGATTTTTGATTCTGTGAACAGAGAAGAATTAAAAACCCCAAGAAGACGGAAACGCTTCCGTTTTTTTTTTTTGGCCAAAACTTTTTTTGTTTTAATTTCAAAAGCTTCAGTTGCAATTCAGGTCACGCGTGGAGTCAATACGTCGTCGTTTTCATCGCCGACTTGCAGACTTCTGCCTTGAGATTTGCGTTTCGTTGTTTCATTTTTAATATATTTTTGGTACGGGAAACTTATATAATATATATATATATATATATTATGCATTATATGCACATATATGTATATTTACCCATATCGAAAATTAAAGCATTAAAGCTCCCTCATGTAATAGGGTATTTATTTATTAAATATCGATATAAATGGAACGATTTTGTTTTGGTGGTATTTAATATTTAGATATAATCGATTAATTGTGAATGACTTCAAATTCTGGACAGTTTGGACTTACATTGACCATTTTGCTTTCATAGCCTTTTTTTTTTTTAATTTTCTCGCAAATTTTCTTTTATAATTTAAGCCCAAACACTCTAGAAACCAAATCCCAAACCTATGTTGAAACGATCTAAAATCGAATCAAATCAAATATAAAATAATAAAAAAACCATTACAAATAGAATTATTTTATAATCAGAAAAAATATATACCGAATTTATGGAGAAGCTAGATTCGGAAATAAAAATGAATAGTCGCCGATTTTTCAAAAATGAAAAAGCGAATTTAAAAATAATCTAATATAAATTTTGTAAAAAAAAACATAAAACTATTCCTAATGTTTTTCCTTTTTTTTTAACCGGTGTTTTGCGTCGAGATTCAAACTAATCTCAAAATCGAGTTGAATTACACTTTCCTCTTCAATTTAAAGTTTCAATTTGGGACGATACAAATATTTTGCGTAAGCTTAATTTCAATCATTTATGTGCACTAACTCTCATTAACTTTGGTTTATCTAACCTAATTATTATGATCAACGACTTTTATTTCTCTTTGCGAATGAAATCAAGAAGGTTTTACATCATATGAACGACCAAAACAAACCAAATAAGATTCCGACACGTGTCCGTATCTCCATCCAGACAGCATTTAATGCAACTCTCCGGTCGGAAAATCTAGCAACTCATCACTGGTTGTCGGGTTCCTCCTCTGCATCATCATCGTCATCCAATCCAACCCAACTTATGAATGCAAACATGAACTCCCTAAACCCCACCTTCCCTTTTCTTCCCCAATCCATTTCTTCTGCAACAAGTAACCCGAAAAACGATCGATGTCAGTAAATATTCATCCCGAAGAATCCCGCAGATCGGGACAGCGACGTGCCGAGGATCGATACCGAATCTCATCTTGGTGACGTGTGAAGGGGATTTCTCCCGGGGATAGGCGCCGTTCCACGTAGTCCTCACGTCAAGCTTGTTCAGCATCCCGTCTCCGTTCTTGTCGAGAAACAAGAAGATCTCGATTATCGGATCGAAAGTAGCTCCTAATCCTCTTTCCCCAATCTCCGGAGATGTCTGAAATCGGATCAAAAAACGCTACATACATATCGAAAAAAATAGAATCATGACAAAATGCAGTGAGAAATTGAGATATATATATCTGTATATATACTGTATTGGATGGGGACGAAGGTTCAGCGAGGAGATAGATGAGACAGAGAAGCACTATGAACTCGTTGAACTGTATTCCTTTGCTTCCATCGACATCGCACCATCCGTACAGATCTTCGACTTCTTCTTCCGACATGTTCAGATTCAGTTCCTCCAAACAGTTCTTGAGCTCTTCCAGATCGATCGTTCCGTTCCCATCTTTATCTACACGTTTCAGACAAAAGCTTAGAAACCCGTCAGGATTTCGGTCTTGCAATGCCCGGTTTTCGGTTTTCGCAAACCGGGCCGGTTTGTGAGCTAAACCGGCGGTGTGTAGCTTACCGTACGATTCGAAAACGCCTCTGATGTTTCTCAACCCTTCTCTTAGCCGAGGGAACTTCATGATTACCGAATCCAGTGACCTGAAACTCCGGTGTGCCGGAAAATTCCTCCGGCACTCGACCATCCTCCTCTCGAGCTTCGCGTCCAACTCGGCGTACTTGTTCTTGGAGACGCAGCAGCAGAACATGATGATCCCTTTGCGTCTTGGTTTTTATTCAGAGTTTAATTTCGATACACAGAATTCAGATAACAAATATAAAGATTTTTGTGAAATTAAACAGAAGAACTCACCCGTAATCGATCCGATCCGAGGAAGAAGAAGGCGTGGAGCGATGAGAAAAGCACAAAGGGAAGAACGAAGAAAGGCATATATGAATATGTGATGTGAACATACAAGAATCACAAAAACATATTAAAAGGTGCAAACTTGGTGGCACTGCCATCATTTCATATATATATATATATATATATGTGTGTGTGTGTATGTATATATATATATGTGTATATATATTTTAAATTTGAGTGTTTTATCTTTTTCTATTTTATAAAAACCCACCGAATAAACACGTTGAAGCATTAAGCATATCCTGCTGTATACATTATGACTATACACAAAAAAAACATTTTAAGCAATATACATATATATATTGCTATATATATATATTCAATCCATATATTATATATACACGA